GACTTAAAACACCCTATCTACTCCTTAATAGCCTGTGTATGACCACTTACTACTACTAGTCTGAAGAGGTCCTCCACCTGCGGAGGTCCTCAGGGGCTGGCAAACCTTTCTGGCCAACTCCGTATGTGAGCAAAACAGATGCAGCAGCTCTGCCTTTAACAATTGCACATATTCTCATAAACTATTTTTATTTCTTAAACTATTTTTATTTCTTTTACTTTTACTGTCTGTGTTTACCAAGGTATAATCGTAAGGGGATTTGCCTAGAAAAATTTGAAGAAATATATGCAGGATTTGGAGGAGGGAGGGCGAGTCCCCCAGCCACAGTGTCAGGCTTCTGGCCCTTCGCGGTTGTACGAGCTGGTGACTCTGGTATCAATACAAGTGACTGTGCCACCACCCAGGCAGCAACAGCATCCTCCCTGCCAGGAAAAGGGGGGGGGGTTCCTGCTCCGTGTCAGTTTGACTGGTTCTTTGCTCCTTTCTGGCTCTTCATTTGCTTCCAAGTATACTTGGAGTGGTGTTCATTTGCCAGATTCTGGGTGGATAAGTAGGGCATGGGGATGTTGATTTTTGTTGCTACTTGTCCTTCAGACCTGGCCCACGAGTTCTGGCCCAGGGCCAGGCTGAAGAGGTTAATGCTTTGCTGGCAACCCTCTAAGCAGAGGTAGTTTGTACTCAGGTGCTTCTCTCTGTAGAAACACAAACACATTATTTCGTATGGTCACCCCTTAGGAAATACAGTAATTCACATTAGTTTAATTAACCCCGAGAAGCCATTGTACTGAAATACAGCCACCTGTAAGGGAGAGCAGAGCAAGCACCAGGGTTAAGTGGGAGAAAGGTCCCAATTTTGAACCAGAAGAGTAGGTGTAAATCTTCCCTTTAGAAGTGGGGAGGGATTAGTACACACAGGCCCAGCAGGAGCCCAGTTTATTGCTAATTGTGTCTTCACATTTTAGCCGTATTTAAAAAAAAAAAAAAATCCTTGAATATTTAATGTCCCATTTCTTCATGACCACAGAGATTAATTGGGAAATGAAAGTAACTGGCAGAGAGGGGCAGAGCCCAGAACACCACAGGGAGCTGCAGCCTGAGCCTGGGTTCAGGTGAGGCACAGGTACCTGCCCTTTCCCTGCTGGGTTGTGCAATGGACAACACTCACCGCCTTAAAAAGTGAGGGGTTTGCTCTTCTTGCCTGCTCTTCTCCTCCTCCACCATGTTTTAATAATTCCTGGGTGACTGATACTGACCTCGAGGTCAGGAGTCTCCAGTTAACAGCCAGGAAATGCCCTTCTCATTGGTCATTATTGCCTAATTAACAACTTGAAATATTTCACAATCGATGTCAATGACACAAGATGGCCATTTTAGGGGTGGGGGCTGCAGAGCACTTGGCAGCATTTGCATGTGAAAGCCTGGCAGTGAGATGCAGAGGCGAGTGCATGCCTGGGCTGCTGCTGCTCCCACCCTCCGGGCTCCGCCGTGCTGCCTCCAGACCCACTTACACCCAGAAGAAAGATGTTCACAAATACAATGCCTAGACATGGCTGGGTCTAAGGGACAGGTATTTCCAACCAGCGCCACACTGTCAGCTGGGAATGGTGGGATTCCATCTCTGTACGGGTTCTGGCCTCAAACAGCGAATCCTTGGCTCGAATCAACACCAGGTTGGGCTGAGCCAAGGGGTCTTCGTGGCCTGGCAGGGGCCGGGAGAGAGCAGGAGCAATTCCTGGTCCTTCACCCACCCGCATCTGTCAGTCAGGACCGTCTGACACTTAACGATGTGCCTTACGTATACAAAAATACATACAGTATCTTTTGTGAGATATTATCCAAGGGGTTTTACAGTGCTTGTGCCATGTTGAGAGGTCTGTTTAAAAATCTGAGATTTAGAAACAGCCTCCCTCTCCACCTGGCAAGGAAGGCAATGGGAGAGGAAAGTGTTTTCTAACGTCCTGGGTGGCTGACGTGGAAAAGCAACGCAGAAACTGCTGGGGGGTGAGGCTTGACGGCTGGGTCTAGCTGCTGGGTGTCTGGTCTCCATGGGAGCCCTCCCCAGTCGCTTGAAGTCACTAATCTGGCAGAAAATTCACACAACAGAAGCAATGCATGGAGGGGTCCAACGGATACCAGGAGCTGGATCCTGCTGCTGGGAGCACACCCCCCCACCACCACCCCAAAAAAAAAAAAAAAAAAAAAAAAAAAAAAAAAAAGGAGAAGAAAGTCCCCTTTCTGTTGGCACTGGTGAGCTGCACTCGTGCAGCTGCCTGCAGAAGAGCAGCCTGAGGTCACACTCACTATGAGTGAATCTGGACACTGCCTGCATCACACACCTGATGAGCATCAGGAGCGTAAGAACGCCTTTATCTCTGCTGAGCACATGGTGTAGCACAATGCTTTGTCCTGCTCCAGTGTGCTCTTCACCACCCCCCCAGCCAATTCACTTCTTAAAAATCACAACAAAACTGAACCAACAGAGAGAATTTGCTTCAATGTGGACATGGAATTGCTCAACTGGCACCCAGATGCCTTCAGTCTGGACTTGGCATCTTCTGGCAGCAGCCTTACACAGAGAATTAATGCAGAGCAGGTAACTTCATAGCACTGTAATTGAACATTAGCTTCCATCTGCAGGCACTGAGAGTGTAGTGGTGATGTATTAATGCAGTATAAATGTATCTCACGTGCCTATATAACGAATACACCTTATACAGCTGTTCCTGGTGAGGCCATGGTGAGGAGACCAGAGCAGATGGGCCTGCTCTGAGAGCTCGTAACCGGCCTGTTCCTTGTGAAGCAGGATCGTGAGATGTGTGGATGTACTCCCATGCTACACCACCAAATCAAAGGGGTTAAGCCAAAGATTAGTACACTGAAAACGCACTTACTACTATAAATTATGCAAAAAAAAAGCATATGGATTAAATACAACTAAACCTTTTTTTTAACGTTTTAATGTATTTTGCCATTTTAATTTGGTGTTTTGGGGATGCTTGGGCTGTAGTCAATGTCACTGTTTTCTTTGGAGGACCAAAGTCGTTTTATTTGTGTTAATCATGCACCTGCAAGAAAAGGAAAAATAATAGAAATAAAAGCAGCCTGTCACTGTAGTGTGGCTAAGGGCAAGAAGCACAGTGCAAATCTTTAGTTAAAGATTTTCTGTTGAGAGTGTGCTTCTAAAGGGTCACAGAGCTGATCAGTGAGGAACATAACTCAGGCATCCTGACACCCCCATTCCTGCTCTATCCATCACAGCGATACCTAATCCCTGAATAAATCCCTGAGTATTCCTGGGTCATGTTTGATTTTTCTTAGACTAGTTTCTCAGCTAATGCTTTCAGAAACAGGTTTGAAACAAACATTTCCATATTTATGTTCCTATTAACATAGATACATTAAAAAACTTAATGAGCTTATGTAACAAATTGCTACATTACATTGTTAACAATTCAAGAGAGGATCTGTACTTAGGTAGATAAGAATGGCATTTGCAATGGCACCAGCTCTGGTAAAATTACAAGGAGCATCAATTGCATGTTGCAGGTAGACTGTCCTGAGACTGGAGCCTAAAGGTCTCTGGCATGGTCCGGTCCCGCCCGCGAGGTGTGTGCCACAACCCACTTGCAGAGCTTAAACAGGGTGATACAGCCAGGGTGATAAATCCAGGGGCTTCCCATGTCCGAGGGATGAGGTGAGGTTGTGGTTGGTCCTCTGATGCAGAGCTGGCATCACCTCTCGCCATCACAGCCTTCCTGTGTTGAGCAAGACCCTGTGGGCATGTCTGCAGAGACTGGAGCTTTCTCCGTGCCTGCTCTGAACTGGCTGGATGTGTCAGCGGGTTTGGGAGGCCGCCAGCCGTTGACTGGTAGGGAAGGGGTGTCTCAGGCACTGCGAGGGCTTCTGGAGCTTCCAGATCACATCTGTCCAGCCTGGGGCAGGGGCAGGGCACCTGGAGGTGTTTGTAGCTTGTAGATATGCTTTACATTTCCATGTTTCCTGCTTCCTCACTGTAAACAAGGAAATACTGAGTGCCCAAACTTTTGGGACAGGAAGACAGCTTGCTGAGTGTGTATGTAGGCAGTGCAGAGCTGGCGAAGACCAGCGGAGCGGGGCAGACATTCAGCCGGTCCGAGACGGCTGGAGATGTAAATTGTCCCCTGCTTGTCTGCAGACATGGTCCTCACTAATGACCAGGCTCATGGGCACAACACTCTCTCCAGAGAGGCTGAGACATGGCTTTTAGGGAAGGGGGCTCGGGGTTTAAAAAAGCAAGTACTGAGACCCTTCCCCAAGCAGTGCTAACAGTTTTATATAGGCAAGTCAGCAGGCTGGGCTCTTGTGCCCAGTCTCCTAGGAAGCTACCGCTGGCCAGCAGCAGAACTCATCCCTCCGTCCCATTCATTGCAAAGCCTTCCTGTGACTATTTACATGCCACCATCACTAAGCAGGGCCGGGTTTGGGCTCCAGAAGGTTCTGCAGGCTTGATGGGGTTTGGCCTGCTCTGCTGGAAGAAGCCACAGGCGTAAGTAGCGAGCGGTGCCCTGGGCATGGACAGGAGCCTCAGGCTCCAAGGCACCGGGGGCTCTGGGCAGCTTAGGCCTCGTGGCCATGTTGTGCTGGCCACTGTGTGGCTGCCATGGCTTTATACGCTGCCTGGGAAAGAGCAGACAGTGCCTAACTCACCAGAACAACCCTGTGCCTTGGAAACCTGGGAACAAACTTGAACTGGGGAAGATTTGTGCTGTTTGTGGTGATGTTGCTCTAACCACGCTACAACAGATTTACAGTCTTGCTGAAACGCAAGCAAGGATTCCTTTGGCAAAACTATGCTGGGATAAGCTATGCTGACAGAAGAGCACTTTAGCTGGTGTATTCTGTGTTTACACAAGAGGAGTGTTTTATCGGCCTAGCTATACTGGCAAATGTCCCCTCGGGCTAGTTAGTCTTTTCTCTGCAGCTTTGCCGTGTCGCTGTACGGGCAGAGTCTCCAAGCGGAGATGCATGTGGCACTCGGCGAGGGGACTGGGGAGCCCCTGGCTGTGCCTCACGGGGCAGTGTGCCAGGCGCTGCCCGGCAGCCTGGACGCAGCTGAGCCCGGGTCATTCTGGCGGCACACCAGCACACACCCGCGGTGCGGACATGGCGCGCTCTGGGCTAACCTGTAATTTGCATGGGTGCAGCTTGACCTGGTTTGAGCCCATGTCTGCCGCTGGATTTGCATCTATTCAGCTGAGCTGGTTTTGTTTTGCTGCTGTGATTGTTTTCAATTCTAATGCAGCCCAGCACAAGGAAGTCGTGGCCTCCTTCCTCTCCTAGCAGCATCAGGGCTGGCTTTCAAAGGCAACCATCTGTCTTGTACCAATATGACTCTCAACTGTAAAAACTGTCTTCCCTTCCCTCCAAATCCCCTCTCATTACTGAACAGACCCTGGCCCCATGGCTCCCCAAAGCAAAACTTTACTCCCCCAAGCCCCACAGGGAGGGAGCAGCTCTTCTCACATCCTCTGCTAGGCTGTCCAAGGCCATGCTCCCAGGGTCATTAGTCTCAGCTCTCTGGACCACTAAATCATCTAACAGCATAAATTTAATCTGGATCAGACGTGGACCGACGGTTGCCTTTCTGCTGAGTTAGTCAAAGCACACGGTTAGGGTCAGCTTTGGAGTCACCATTTTTGTAAATTTGTTTTGGTGACGGGATGATGGACCACATCTGGCTGCAATGGTGTGGGCAAAAGACCTTTTATGTAGCATAAAACTGCCGGTACCAAGTTGACATTAGCCTCTTTTTAAATATATCTTAGTGTGAATTTATGCCGATTTAGGGATTTCCAGTGACAGATTTTGATACTAGTAGTAGGAAATGTAAAGCTGGATGGACTGTATTGCCCAGTGGCGTCTGGGCTGTGGCTCCTAAGTCCCACAGGACAGGAACTCTGGGCTCTTTCCTGAAACAGCTATGTCAGAGGTTGGAAATCCAGCAAATACCTTTGTTACACCGCCTAAGTGTCTCTGCACTGATATGTAATGGGCACTTTTCACTGCTCCGGCAGGTAGGAATGTAGCACAAGCAGAGAGCTGGGGATCAGCCACGGAGAGCCATAGCTGCCTGATCACAGTGGTGCTCCTGTGCAAGACTCTGCTAATAGCGCAGTGATGGGAAATCTTGGAGCATGGGTGCATGTGCACATGTAGGGGGAAAAAGGGGAGATGGAGGAAAAAGTCAGAAGCCCCAGGTTGAAGATGACTGGCAGGCTGCCTGAATTCAGATTTGAACTGAAGCACCCTGGATCATATTGCCTCCATTTGATTAATGAACAGCAAAAATTGCAGGGTTTTAGTACATAAAAAAATCACCTGGACATTCCAAGTCTGCATCCTTCTGCAATTTACCTTCATGACATTAGCTCAGCATAAATAAGAGGTTTCTATGTAGTACATATTCTTACACCTCAGAGTATCTCCTTGTGCTTTTGCAGCAGTAGTGTTGCATAAATTTTTGCAAAAAAATTTTGCATGGAAAAAAACAGAGCTATAAAAAAACCCCTAACCCTGTCTATATTAGGTACAGTAACCATGCAACATCATCCTGGACTCCTGTCTCTGCAGATACACCTGCAAAATCAAGTCCTTGACAATGCAGCTTGGAGGAGGTTTGGAATACTTTGAAGGTATTTGCTGGCACCCGGTATTTTATAATGCTGACAGCCCTTCACTGGTGCCTTATTAGTGTGATTATAAATGACAGAGTGCATTAGGTCTAGAGTTTTGACTGATGTAATTTTTGCCAGCAGTTCAATTCCACCCCCCCCAGCTCTGCTTCATCTTGCCAGGTAATAATAGTGTTGCAGCTCACCAGCATATCAGCATTGGAGAAACACCGCGAAGGAGCAAACGGAAACGTCATGCCACCAAATCCTCTGTATTTTCCAATTAAGCAAACACCTGTGGTAATATATTAACAGGGACATGGAAGGGAAGAGAGTGTCCTTGTGCTCTTCTTGGCTGCTAAGTGATAAAAAGGCCAAAGGCTTTGGCAGTCTTGTATTTGTCTTTAAAATTTTTGTCCCTCCAAGCTTTCCCCCCATATGTGAAACATTTCAGATTTTGTCCAACTGAGCTTTGATGAAGGACTTGGGAAAAGACTGGCTATTTAGAGGGATTAGGACTTTTCAAGAAATTGAACTATGGAACTAAAAGAGTAACTGACTTTGTTTTCTTTAATTATTTAAATTGCCTAGAGGCAAAATACTCAGCTTCAACTCACATGACCCATTTCCCTGACATTGAGGTCAGTTTACTGATTTCATCACCCCTTTAAGATGACTGAAGAGTGAAAGGTAACTAGAAATAAGGCAACTAGAAATAAGGCATCTGACTGTTCTGTAAATTCCTTTCCTACTGTACGGTACTGCCTGCATCTTTTTTTGAACTCTTTATGTTCAGAAGTGTTTGGATAATTTATCTATTAGGATTTAAAATTTGCGTGTGTATGTGTATATATGCATGCATGTGGAGAAGTGGATATTTTAAAAAATAGCCTTAACAGACCTGATGAATCCCCTGAAGTGCACAGGCTGCAGGACCCAAGGCTGGGGATGCAAAAGACCTTCTGTACCTGGTGTCTATCTCTGTCAGTGGAGAAACCTTCCCCAAACCATCGCTGTTGTGCCCCAGCAGTTGTTTTCTTAAAACTTGGTGCATCATTTAAGGTATCATATAGGCTGCATGTACCATGAAAGCAGAGGAAGGGATAAAGGAGCATCTCATGGCGGATGTTTTTACAGTGCAAGTATAGCTCAGTGACGATACCCACTCCTTTTCTTAAAAGAGCAAAAGTAATGGGAGGTTCATACTGAAGGATATGTATTAGCTACAGCCTGAATTGGGCTGAGCAATGTTTTTTCAGCTCATTTCTGTGTCTGTACTTGAAAGATTTGCTTTTCTGCTGATTTAGCCTATGGGATTCTTTGTTTTTGCAATATTGGATTTTTTTTTTCTTATTGTAGTATAAGCAACTAACTGTAGGAATGTATGATCCACCGAGGCTTTATTTTTTAAAGTATGAATTACATGTATTGTACCAAGAGCCTGTTTATCTTTTTGCTTTCAGAAAATAGCCTAACTAAATATATGAATCCTGATTTCACATTTAGCATTGTGGTGTTTGACTGGTTTTGATTTTTGATCTTGGGGTTTTTTTTTTTGATGTGGAGTCTGCTTCCTGCACTAACGAACTGAGTTCAATTACACACAGTCCAGCAATGACATCCTTTGGAGCAACACTCTGGCTAATGAACATAAAATGGAGGGAATAAAAAAAATCAGAGCATCTCTCCAGAATGGAGTGATCACACCACTGCAGTCAAAATGCCAGAGCCCTGAGGAGGTGCCTCAGGATCATCGGGCAGAGCTGCAAGGGTCTTGGGGACTGTGGCTCCCATTTCTCCCACGGATTCACCTGATAAGAATCCAGCTCTCACCAGCACTGGGATTATCACTCTTGTTTTATGAATGAGGAGACCGAGGTAAATGCAGCCACAGTCATATTTGTGGTCATCCCCTGCCTCAAGAACAGGGACAGTCTAGGAATTTGGGTCTTCCTCACCCCTGTCCCATGCTATGGCTGCAGGCAGGCTCGTGTGAGCTCCCTCTCCTCCCAGGTATCCTCTCCTGCCGGCAACCATCCAGATCGACAAAACTTCATGTGTACAAAAGCCAGAGAAACTCCTTGCAGGAGCCCGAGGCAGCTGCTGAACCTCAGCCACATGCCATGCAGCATCTAACCCAGGGCCTGAAAGTGCCTGGTGTCAGCCTGTCACTTCTGCCCGTGATTTGCTCTCTGCTTCAGGCTTACGGCAGGCTGTGGCCAGGGGACTCCACCGCTCCAGCTCCAGTGGGAAGGAGCAGGAAGAAAACATAGCTGGGACCGTGTTTATTAAGCAAATTAATAGGTTGGGAAAAAACTAGCCGCGGTGTGGGCACACTTTCTTCTCGCCTCCTGCAGAAGCAGGGACTGGGACCTGGGCAGGTGAGGAGTGTTCGACAGCACATCCACTCCCTGCTCCCCGTCTTCGCTTTCTCCGCTGGGGGCCAAGCTGCGGGTGGGGGCCGGCACACTCACAGCCCTCGACGGGGCGCCGGCTCCCCCACTGCACCTCAAATACGGGCGTAATATCGGTGTGGGAGCCCAGAGCCCCGCTGGAGTCCGGCCTGGCCA